CACCCGAAGCGAAGGACGTGGCTTCCCAGAACGGGTCGCTCATTGGCTGAGGCGCCTTGGCAGAAGACGTGCGGGGGGAGGGGGCAACAATTGCGAAAATGCTTTACTGGCAAGGGGGGAGAAGAGCGGGAGGGACAGCGCCCTCACGTGACCGGCCTCTCTTCAGAAGGGGTGGCCTGTGGTGGCGGCGGCGGCGGCGGCGCCTTCCCTTGTGGGGGAGGGGAGTGTACGCTAGTGCCTTCCCCCCCAGGGAATGGGCACCATTCAAGAGGCATGGAGAGAAACGATGGCGGACCCCGAAGCTGCCCCCAGCGTAGGAAAGGACTGAAAGGAAAAGTTGAGCATCACATTTGATACCCTTTAGCTCCCTTCGGATCCTTGCGAGATGTGTTTAGGCTGAGGCTCTTTCCATCACAGGAAATAATGCTGCCTTCTGCCTTCCCTCTTAATTGCTCATTCTTTGGCCAAATAGCCAAACAGCTCCCTGGTACTTTCTGATTCTGGCTCTCCCGGGAGTGTATCCCTCCCGCTATAGAGAACCCCTTCAGAAGCCGGCCTTCTGACACGTTTAGAGCTGGTTGGTGACCCAGTGAGCACTGGGTGTAAAATCCAGCTGGCAGAGGGGGAGAATGGATACCTGGTTGCGCTGAAATGGAAAGGCGGCCGACGTGGCGGGGAGATGCTGGCGCAGGGCTGGCATCATATCTATCTGGCAGCTGAGACTTTTACAGCTCCAATAATGCCTTCATGTTGAAGGTCTTCCTCTGAGTTGCCGGCTATTAGGATCTATCAGTCTGATTTTGCAGAGTAATCAGTTGAAAGAAGGATGTATGTTCAGAGAGTGAAAAGGAAGGGGGCGAGCGAGGCGAGGGCTGGCAAGGCAACCCTCCTCCATTCACACCAATCTACTCCCCACACCTTGCAAGCCCCGCTGGATTTCTAGAATGGTCTTTGCCCCTCTTACATTTCTTGTCCCACCAAAGCATCTGTGCACGTAGGGGACGGGAGGGGGGCAGTTTGTCTTCTTGATTTGTATCAATCTCTCCTGCAGCTAAAAACTGAAGGAAGCCAGAGGAGATCGGAAGAGACCTCCTTATGTATCTGCACTGCTATTGTCACTTTTCTGGTTGCAGCTGATCACGGG